GCTCTTCTCTGCCGGTTTCGTGACTTGTTCTTTTAGTCCCTCTTTTAAGAGAGCGGTGTCTACGACACCCTGCCTCAGCCGTTGCCGAGTCAGCTTTCTCATCCTGTCAGGTTTCTGCCTCTCTCTGTTGCTAACCCCCCTCCTCGGGCTGCCCTCCTCAGCCCCTTAACCGCTGGCTGAAGAGAGTGTTTCACTTCCAAAATATCCTTTCTTTGCTGGATCATGTGCTTGTCCTCTTACTTTCTGGGAGCATCACAGGATGTTGGTTACATAAGACTCGTTGAATTGGAACAATTAAAAAACGTTTGGTCTGTTACAGTTAATGTCACAAAATCTTCCATTTGTGGTGGTGTCGCTGTGTTCACAGGTAAGGCAAACTGCCCTTACTATGCCAAAGCTGAACTCCTGGCTGACTATCTCCAGGCTAACTTGCCAGACTTCAGAGTTCACAAGATCACTCAGCACCCTGACAAATGGGAGGTAAGGGATTGTAAGTCAAGTTGTTGGTAGATGTCCCAGTGCTCTACAAACTACAGAATGTGCTTATCTGTAGTATGCCTCTTCTTGTTAGCATTTTGATATGTGGGTAGAGGTGCTGCAGAAGCAGCTTTAGCTGTGAGAGCCAGCCAGAGGAAAAGTTTGAATGTTATGAGAGACTGGTATTTCTGTGAGTCTTTCCACAGAACATGGGCACAAAAGGAGGGCTAGCCTAAAGCTGTACTTTGTCAGTAAGAAATTCAAGTTTATTGGTTTTTTATTATGTATAAATGGCGGCTCAGCCTGTAAATCTTTTGCACACTGTGATTGCATATGCCTTCAGACTTGTTACTTGTCAAGAACATTTCTGGCATTCAAGGGCTTTGAATTACAATAGAAGTATGAAATTAAATCTCACATATTTGTTTACAATGTGCATGGGCCTTTCTGAGTACTTTTGCTGTAGACATGTTGCCATGTCTACACTGTAGTTCCTATAAGGAACTGAAAAAAATTGCAGTATTACTTCATGAGAGACAGTAGTATGATGGTTATTACTTATCTTTTGCTTGACACCTCAGCCAAGGAATTCAAACAGTTAAGTGAACAGCAATTAACCTCTGCAGCTTGCTTACCTTCTGCAGCTAAATAGGGATCCTCAGATTGCTTGCTGCTTCACAACATTGCTATCTTTAGTACCGCTAAGATAATTGAGCAAAATTACAGCAGAAAAATCAATCAGAAGTAAGACCTTTTGCTGAGGTATCACAGTGTATCACTGTGCATTGCTTTCTGTTATTCCCACATTTTGCACACACTGGTACGTAAGTTGTGAAGAACCTTGAAATTATATATGGAGAGGAAATAATGTTAACAGCTGTAACATTTAAGTGTTATCAAATGTGAAGAAGTATTAAAACCTTTTTGCGGCGATGTTTACATTAGCAGTGGCTTCATGACATTTGTGAAATGAATGGATGGGAACACAGAGGATCTCCTATCATTTGGAGAGAACTGTTGGACCATGGAGGGAAGGGTCTGCTTCTGGGAGGAATTAATGATTTTCTGGACTATGCTCAGGTAAGGAGATGCCTTTAATACTGTAAACCCATATTTTACATTTTCTTATAACATTGTTTTTCTTTATTCCTCCTTCAAATCTAAAATAAAGCTATCCTTTCAAATGTTAGCTTGCTGTGTTTGGGTTGTCATTTGATTAGAGATCACCCTTTTTTTTCCTTAGTACTATTATGGCATCACCTCGATGATGTTGAGTGAGGAAATGTTAGACATTGCTGAGGAGAACCTGCAGGCGCATATTGAAATTGAAAAAGAGAAGGAAGAGATTAAAAGTCTTATCAAGCCTTTGCAGATCTGGATCACCAGGTGAGAGTACAAAGAATATCTGTGAAGTTTCATTCAGCTTCAGAAGAATGCATGTTTTCCTATCACATATACCAAGTGTAACCATCTGAAGTTATATATGAATCCCTGTAATTTGCCGATTTGAATTAGGTTCTGTGCACCTCACTATGACCATTCAATATATAATTTAGAAATTATTTCTACTTTTGTTACATTTTGCACCAGTTTAAGTGAGGGATGTGAACAGGCAACGTTTAGAGCCCAGATCACCTTAGGGAAAAGCAAGTATTTACAAAATAATCTAGGAATTTTGTAGTTCAACTATCTTGCATTAAATGCTTTTGGAAATATTTAAACAAATAGAGAGTCTCTTCCAGTTCTAACTTTAGAAATTTCTGTATTTCTAGTGGTCCTAACAGCACCTCAAAAAATTGTGATTCTTTAAAGATGCTCATTTTTAAGTGACAATATCACCTGAAGCGTATAGGATGGAAAAACCTTCAAATGAAAGCAGGACCCAACTCTTTAAATTTTTAACCTGTTGAAATGACAGAAAGAGCAGTAAAGGATCCAAGCTAATGGTCTATTTAAACATCACATAAACAAATACAAAAGAAAGATCTTTGTGTTTATTTATGTGGTACTTCCAAACAAGCAGTGGTTAGTGGTAAACTATAATTTTTCTATATCCTTCTTTTATCAGTGCATCAGCTCCAATCTGTTATCAGCTGATCCCTCTCTTGGCAAATGGAGAAGTGTTCGGGGCAACCACAGAAATCAGTATCCATTTGCTTGACAGTGACCAGTTTAAGGAAGTTCTTTGTGGTATTGTAATGGAAGCTGAAGACATGGCATTCCCACTCCTCTGCGGTATTTCAGAGCACACTGAACTAGAAGAGGCTTTTATTCAAGCTGATATTGTCATTGTTCTTGATGATGTCCTCTTAAACCATGAAGTCCAATCCCTTGAGAACTGCATCAGAGAAGTGAGTGAGATCTGTCAAGTGTATGCTCCCCTGATTGAGAAGAATGCCAAGAGTGAGGTCAAAGTAATTTCATCAGGAAAAACCTTTGTAAACCTTAAGGCGGTGATGATTATGACATATGGCCCATCCATTAAGCCTGAAAATGTCATTGCCGTTGCAACATCCTGGGAAAGTGCAGCTAAAGCCATGCTGGCCAGGAAGCTGAATATGAATGCAGCAGGTGAATATATTTATGTGTTCTGGTAGCATTTGGGGAATTCAGTGGCTGGACACCTTTGAGAGTACATATTTCATTGCAGAACACTGTTGATGTGTGCGCAGAAATGCAAGCACAGCCGTGCACCCACTGAACTGCATGGCTGTATGGAATGCCAGGGTGTGACTAGCAGGTGCTACCATTTTCTGTGCTTACTGCTGTATGGATCTGTGCCTGATCCCATGAATGTCAATTCTCTTGCTAACTTTTGGATGCAGCCCTGCCATTCTGGCATGTATTTCATGCTGGAAATATACTAAGAGGGACCGAGCTATGTTGTGGAACAGGAACTAGGACTTCAAGATTGCATTTGCACTCTGCAGCACATTGTTATTTTGGAGACATGCAAGCTAGCTGTGAATAAACACAACAACATACTGCTGTGCAGATAATGAGAGTATAGTAGAACTGTGATGTAGTATTATTTCTACGTTAATTAACTTGCTTTCTCAGGTCAATTGTTATTGCTTGGTTATATTTGCATGGTTCTGCACTGCATAGCAAAGGTGTGCTCCAACAGCCTGCTCAGCATCAGGATTCTTTCAATGTTGCAGGGCTAGGAACTGGTCATCAATGACAAATCTAGATATTTTGGAGCCTAATAAAATAGAAAAGTATGTTAATAGACTGAATAGACTATCAGCTAGGCTAGATAAATTATTTTTGCACCAAAGCAGGTAGATTTTTTTTTAAATTATTTTCTACTGTTAGGGAGTCTATATTTGCGTGTACAGAATTTTAGAAGGAACATTGCTGTATGTTTGCAGTATGATTTGTTTTGGTTTTAACAGCTAAGTATTTACTAGGTTTTGTCTATTATGTACAATAACATAATATAAATCAAAGTTCCTTTTTCATCTTGTGATGAGGTTTCATATGTTTTGGAGAACCTTGTTTTATTTTTCAGATCAAATCATTTCAGCTGTCAAGGCAGGACATTGAATTGAAGAATAATTCATCTTGAAAGGGACTTCTGATGGTCATCTAGTCCAGCATACATTGTGAAAGTATTTGTCTGTCTCTTCATTCATCTATGTATTTTCCTCTGTTACAGGAGTTAAAGATGTGATTGTTTGGGGCAATATTACTGGCTGTAACTACATCGATTTGTCGCATGCAAAACTTTATGGATATGACTGTGCTATTTGGGGCCCAGCTAATTTTCCACATCCTTTGTTGAATATGATTTATGATAGGTACCGTACAGATTTGTTTTTTTAAAGTAAAACTAAATAACTGCTTTTAATCCATGTTTATCTGAACTGTTTAATAAACATCAAGAAATGTTTTTGTTTTCAAGACTTGTCTTTACTGATTAGCACTGTATATAAAGGAAAACTCAAGTTGAAGTACTTAGTCTGCAAAAGGCATAGTTCCTAGTGCTGCACATAGTTCTGACTCTCCTGCCAACTTTGTTTGTATTTTCCTACATATTAAGTGTGTTTCTTTTATATCCTGAGCAGCTTGTAAGAAGTAATAGAAGTCCAGATAGTGACTTAGATGTCTAGTATGCATGAAGAAACTTTGAAATAATACTAAACATATATCTGCATCTTGAAGTATCTGAATTCCCTTGAACATATGGCCTGAGCACACCAATGTTGTCAGTTTCCCAAAACAGACAATTTGTTAACATGTGTAAAAAGGATACCTGGCAGCTAGATAGCTTCTTGTGGAAAGAGAAACAGCAGAGAAAGGATGAGTGGAGCGAGGGGCAGCAGATGTGACATGCACTCAGATCCAGATATATGGAGCTTCCACTCTGGTCTAAACCTGGTGTTTACTGGATGGCAGACAGTTCGTTTGTGCTATACTTGTACTGTGCCTAGCACAGGGTATGGTTCATGGCTGGGTTCTTATGTAAGATGGTAAATAATAACAATAATAATAATAAGAACAACAACAACAACTACCTTTTTAAAATGATGATGATGATGACTTGAGTAAATGACCTCACTTTCATAGATAAGTAGTGCTTGTTGTTACCTTTTGAACCACTTTTTGCTAGACGCTATGTTTTCTGCTTTAAGTGCCTTGCCTTCAGCAGTGAAGTTTTAATAAGTTTCGACAATTTTCTTCCCTCAAGTTTAGTTCTTTTTTCCTCTAGAAAATTACTCTTCCTGCAGTCATCTTAGTTTTTTCTTCCTTCTTCCCCCCCCCCCTCCTTTTTTTCTTGGTAGCGAATGGATCCATTCAGAATTTCTGTCTGCACAGAGTTCACTGAGTTCCCGGATCTGTCATTGTATGGGAATGTTACCTGCTCATGCAGTAGCCACTGTACTGAGATACTGGTATCATGGCTCTCCTCCTGAGGAAATCGTTTCTGTGGGAATACTTACTAAAGGTAAATCTATTTTTGCTGCACATATTCTCTTGTACCTTTCCCCAGTATGTATAATGGTATTTTTTAATGAAGATTTTTAATTTAATAAAAACTTGTAAAACAAATCATGATATAATGGGAGGTTGAGAGGTTTTTTCAGCATAAGGACCTCCAAATCTGAGCAGTTTTGCTCTCCAGAGCTTGTGATTTGGTAATAACTTCTTATAAGCATCTCTTAGGTTAATATTGTCTTGTTGCACATTGTCTCTTAGTCTTTCAGTTTAAATGCTTTTCTGGTGTATGTGTTTTGCACAAGCTTTTTGCAAGTGTGTAGGACTTAATCTTGACACTGGTGAGGTGATGGTTTTTAATCAGAAATAATATGTTTGGGTCACTTTTTCTTCTTCAGGTCAATTTTGCATTCCTGAAGGAATTGTCTTCTCTATGCCAGTGAAGTTCCAGAACGGTAACTGGGAAGTCATGACAGAATTAGAAATTAATGAAACAACCCAAGAAGTTCTGGGACGCTTAGCCCATGAGCTGATTCAGGTGATAATTTCTTGTATCTAAGAGTATGCCCATTCTGCCACCTGTGGGTACATTGCAATATAACTTTGAATACCAAGACCTTTACTCCAAATGTTAGACATACAAATGGCACACATGCATTTATCCATGATAAATATTTATAAGGTAAGGTAGTATTTATATATGGAAATGAACAGACGACTGCTCTGTTGCTCAAAAAGGAGATGATAAAATAAGTTTACCTATGTAAGTGTAGAATTTGTACCCACAAGTTCTGCAGGCTTTGTGCAAAACAGAAATATTAGCTTTAATTTAATGTTTCTACGTTCTATACTGCTGATTGATTTTGCTTTTGTGGTATTCAGGGTAGTTCTATGCCAGAAGACATATCTTTTGGTATCCTTATGGCTGTGACTCTGCATGAATGAAGGCCAGATACAAGGAGTGTAGTGACAGGACAAGGGGTAATGGGTTCAAGCTGAAGGAGGGTCGATTTAGCTGAAATGTTAGAAAGAAATTCTTTACTGTGCGGGTGGTGAGGCACTGGAACAGGTTGCCCAGAGAGGTTGTGGAGGCCCCATCCCTGGAAGTGTTTAAGACCAGGTTGGATGAGGCTTTGGGCAACGTGGTCTAGTGGAGGGTGTCCCTGCCTGCAGCAGGGGGGTTGGAACTAGATGATCTTTGAGGTCCCTTCCAACCCAAACCATTCTATGATTCTATGATTCTATGATTTTACTAGAATTAGGGATTTTTCAGAAAACACAAAATCAGTGAGCAGTAATTGTATCATGAACTTTTTGTCACTTAGTGATAAATATAATTTGGCTAAATATTAAAATACTAAGAAGACTGGTCCCAAACTTTACATTCTAGCTTCAATCAGATTTTGTGATCTTCAGTCATACTAGTAACGTGTAAGGATTATTTTAATTTAACATTTTAAGTTTGTGCTAGAAATTACAGTGGATGAAAAGAATGAGTGACACTAAACCTGGTTTGGTTTTTTTTTTCCCAATCAGGAAAAGCTCATTGCACTAAAGGAAATAAAAGAAATACATCTGAATGGAGCTGATAAAAATCACTAGTAAAAAATATTTGCGTCAAGGTGGGTTTTTGTCCCCATAAAAGATGAGATCAAGTTTTAAGTGAGAATTTAAGTAATGGATTCTTATTTTATATCCCTTCCACTTAAATAGATATAAAATTCTTCAGGAAGGAATATAAATAACAAGTGCTTGTCCAATGTATCCTGACCATGCCTGGGGCGTGGTGATAGTAAGGACAAGCCTGCGTGGTAGCAGCCTTGTTTTGATAAGTTTCTATTGTGTCATTCACAAATCATTAATATAAAAGCTGAGAATAAATAATACATTTAGCATGACACATTTTGTCTTAGGTTATTAGTAAATATAAAATCTTTTCAACCCAAGTAACTGTTATTAAAAAAGCACTTTCACCTTATATCCTACTATATGTTTTTGAAGATATTCTTTACTATACTTTACTATTCTTTACTATCTAGAAATATTGAGTTGAATTTCCTAACAGAGAAAAAAATACTGTAAATTGGAACTCAAACTTTTCATTTTTCTGTTTGTTACAGTACCAAACAGTTCATTCAATATCTTTAGTCTGTAAGCCAGTCAGAAGAACAAAAGGTTGAGACACCTAAAGACGGTAGGCTAAAAAAAGAGATATTCCTACTTTCTATAGAGAAGGCAATCTTGGTAAGTGGCAGCCACATCTGCCACTTCTTCCAATTACAACAGATAAAAGATCTTTTAGAGATCCCTACGTTATAAATTATTAAGACATTTCACTTTGTTAATGACACACCAAGTTCATCATGCCTTATTTTTATTTAATACATAATGATATGAGAAATTTCAACTAAAAATCTATAGAACAATTTCAATATCGCTTCCTAATATTTAGGAGCATGTGGGAAGACTATAAGCTCCATTATACTACCATGGCAAAACTTCCCTGAATCCACGGTCTACTTTTCCCATGCAGAATACAAAACCCCACATCTTCTCCTGTCTTTCTGTGCTGCTTTTCCTACCTATTTTGCTTTTCAAGTTCTCTGTCCTCTTAAGATTACATAAAGAAAAGAAGAATCATTCATCAAAATAAGAACAGATGAACTTTAAAGTGTGTTTTATTTTTGTTTTCTCACTTTTTCCCTATTCTCAGGTTCCCAAATCCCTGCACTTTCCCAGTGTTCTAGCCATTTTCTACTTTTAGGTCCTACGGGCCTTTTCCCTAGTTAGTCCTCTTTCTCCCTTCCTTCAAATTTTCTTGTACTCTCAATACAAAAAGTACTTTCCAGTACTTTTATATCATAGTATGAGTTGTTCTTTTGCATTAAAGGCAGGCTGAAGAATGGTGAAACTATTTGGAGCTTGATGCCCAGAGCCTTTAGCAACCACATAAGCCTTGTGGTTATCCATGCTTCTTTCTCAGGAGAGGACTACAGACGCAATAAGATTTTCTTATTCAATGCAGAGTTTAATTATTCCACTAATCATGAGCTTGATTAACCCAGACAAGAGATTCCCAGTTAGACATGAGTGTCCTTCCCTATCTGCTCTCTACTCGTATGGCACTACTTTTCTGTAGAGCTATCCCATTCTTCTTGTGCCTGCTTTAAACACTAAGCAGAGAACCTTTCCACTGCTAGCAGCTAACAGCTTAGTTTTGCCCTACTCTTGTGACATTAGTATCAAGTGCCATACTATTCTAGGATTACCTAAGTGCCCTGCTTATCTCCTTGCATTTTGGAGGTTGGAAAAAATATGTACCATTTTTGCTTTTTTTACAGAGATGGAAACCTTGCCTGCTGGTTCACTTTAGCCAGAGTTGTCTGGAGGAGAAAATGCTGAAAATTCCCATGCTAAAACAATGTTTCCATTGCTCAGAAGAGCAAACTACAAAGAAAGGCTAAACATTGCAATAGCTTTTACTGTATCTTCCTCATCAAAAAACCTGGAAATCTGTAGGCAGAAAAATATTTCAAAAACAGTGTGAATACAGCATTCTTAATCTAGGATTTCATTTACATCCAACAACTTATTTCTTCAGACCAATAAACTGTTTCAAAAACATTGCTTAATGTATAAAAAGTTCATATTAAGACCATTTTGAGCAAGATTCTCACACATAGAGTAGCAGTTTTATAACTCCAAGCTCCCAGCTCAGACAACTACAACACAGTAGTTGTGTAAGAATGTATATGGCTAGGCAAAATTGATTTTTAACACAAAAAATTAACTACGTACATCTTAGTGACAAGATCGTTTTTGTCTCTGTGTTTTTTAATTTATTTCATTAATTTTATAGGGACTACTCATATGTTTTAAGTCAAATATGCAATTAATTAAGTCCTTATCTAACCAGGATTGTTGAGGAACCACTTTCACTTGCATGTCTTTGGCGTCTTAAAAGATGGAGACTGTGTTAAATGAAATATTATTGTACTTGCTAATTTTTTATCAGATGTGAGTGTTTAAAGCAAAATAAAAATTTTTCTCTTCTTTCAATCAGATACATACAGTTGGAATAAATTCATTATTTCTGTTCAAGTGGAGGTTTAAACTCTGAACAGGCTAGACTTCTTGAGGAAACCAAGAGGAGTTTATTTGTTATTTGTCAGCTGATGTGGACAGAATGAGGAGGGATGTCTCACTGGTCTTAGAAAGAGGAGCTTAGAAGGGGGTATCACAAGGGAGTTGGAAGAGTGTAGTTTCATAGGTAAAATGCATGTGGGAGAAGCAACATTTACAGGAACTGAGATATCATTGTTACAAGTATCTTCATGGAAGGGTTCACATGGGAGTTGGAGGGGCAGGTGTAAGTCTTGAAGAAAGTGGTTAGCAATCATTCATTTCATGAGCAAGTGGTCTCCAGGGAATTAGTTTCTAGTAGTGTATGCACAGAAAATTGAGTCTCTGAGGCAGATGTCTCAGGAGAGTATAGCAGGGAAGGATGCTACCAGTAGTCTTTACAAACTACCTGGTTTGCTCCTCCAAGACAGGAGAGGAAAAGTTAGCTTCTCTAATGTGTATTTACATTTGTTTTTTTCTATATGGAATATGATTTGGCAGTCTTTTACTCTTTGAATTCTTTTATTCTACCTGTGGAGATAGTAGTTCAGACTGGAATTCAAGCACCAACACTGCACAGCTCTTAATGAGAAGGAAATTAACTGTTTCTGCAATATATAAACAAGCTTACCAGACTCCTGAGTCACTACCTGAAAACCACAGGCAAGAAATTTCTTCTCAGAGGTTGAGAGGAGAAAGTCAAAACAATTTTCTTGGATATCTCTTTTATCCTAAATGATTCTAATTATATTTGCCTAGTGGCCTGCAGGGAAAATCAGGTCTTTCCTCATGGAAGCATAATAGAATGGAAGTTTCTTTTCCTAGCTTTTACTTAGGAGAGAAAGAAAGAATAAAAATAACAGGAAAGCTAAAATATGGTAACATATTCAAATTTGGTTACATTTGTAACACAGTGATAGACTTAGAAAACCCAAACTTAGTGATGACTATAAGTAACAAGTAATTTTTGGTACACGTTTTCTCACAAGTTCCTGAGTAATGCTGTGTGTGCAGGATATTCATAGCATCCTACTACCTGGGTGTTAGAGTAACTGTGGAAAAATTTATGAAGAAAGGCCTTAAGATAAATGTGTGTGTCTTACAAATGTTACATATATTCTGCATGAATCATAGCATTTGGGTGTACTGAAGAGTGTGTAAGCTTTCTGGTTGGTCTGAATAGTTCTTATTCTAGGACGTTACCACTAGGACTTACTATTTTTCCTCTTGTGTAGTTGCACCAACTGTTTGTTACTGCACACTGTGCTTTCTGCATTACTGTGCCAGCTTCCACCTCATTTTTAGTCTCTATAGCAACACTTTCTCAGTAACTGGGAGATGCTTAGTAAAGGCCCCTCAATTTAGAAATATTGCACTCCAACCATAAGAAAAAAATTGCTTTGAAACAAAGATCAAAGAAGTTTTATCTTTAATAATTCAGGATATTTATTACTAATTAATTAGTGTTCTCTGTTTTGACTGCTTAGACAATTACCTGATACTTTGATCTGGGCCTTTGCCAGGCATTTGTTGTGAACAGCATTCATTTAAAAGCAAAACCTTTAGAACTGTCTTGAAGTCAACTTTTAAGTGCTATAAAGCTATTGGACTTCTCTGGCAGTGTCGTCTGACTTCTGGGCCTTTAGTAAGTAGCTGAGAGAAAGGTAAGCTCCATTACTGTATTTAAGAGAAGATGATAATTTCAGCCTTTGAACACAACATAGAATGTTTTCGCCCTTCACAAGAAACAAAAGTAATTATAGTTTATTTTCTGCATAATTAAAATCATACGTTGTCTGATTTCAAAAGAGGGAAGTCCTCTGTGATCAAGTCACTTGATCTATTGGGAGGTTTCTGCCTCACTTGATCTGGTTTGTCTTTCTCTGTACTTTAACATAATTATGTAGCACGTTTAAAAATGCATTTTATTTGCTAAAGTACATATTCTGAGAACCTGTATAGGCAAATGAAATACATACAAGTAACCAAACATGTTACTTTTCTTGCACATTCCAGTAGTATTCAAGAATAAGGCTACTCTTGTTCTGCACATAAGAGTGTTTGTGGTAAGGGGATTGGGGTTTATAATTGTAAAAATTTATTTCCTGTACATTTGTAATTAATTTTAAAATTCTTTTTTGTTTTGTGAAAGTGTTTTTAGTTATTAATTAAGGGCACATGTAGCTGAAATACAACACACTGACTGAAATAGTGTGTCAATGAGCAGCATTAGTTCAGATTTGATGTTTTGGCAGACAGATTCTGCTTCTACTTTTATATGATGTTCATTATAAAGTAGATGTGTTAACACTGAGAGAGATCTTCATTTCACTTAAGCATTCCTACTGCAGTAGAGATCTGGACTTTCCATATAGTTTTGTATATAAAAATGTAGACTGTACATATCATAATAATGCCTTTCATAACTTTTTAGAGGGAGGCTTCCTGGGTATGGTGTTATAATGTTGCACAATGCCAGC